ACAAAAGGCTACGAAAACATATAATTTACAAACTTGAAAATTGAGTTTGTTTACACTACCTCTTCTTTTGTGTTTAATCCTTATTTGATTTTATTTTTATACTTGTTGTCATCTCCCTGTTGTGTTTTGGGAATTTGTATACCATTCCTATATTTGAATTTTTACTTGTTCTATTATTTTTGTTTAAATAAAGTTTATTGAAAACAAGTAAGAGATTGACTGAATACATTAAAATTAAATTTGAGTATAGAACCTAAAAATATATTTTAAATGGCAGCCCAACGCCTTGACATTGACGTTTATTTGGTTTGAACAGAAGACCTCACATCTTTTGTTGTGATTGTGGCCACTGTGTATTCTTCCTGTAAAAAATTAAAACGAAACGCAATCACCGGAACCTCCGAGAGTAAATGTAGTTTCTACACGGACACGGATAACAAAGAGGTCACAACAACACGGTAATTCTGGACAAATTAAATGTGACACGATATTTGCATATATTTCGTCTTTTATATCTTTGTTTCCAAAAAAATAAAAACAGCTTGTCGTATGCCGTCAGTACGTCATTTAATCACACAATTACAACACTTTTATGACTTGATTCCTCGACTTCACAACAAAGCAAGTACGACGATGCTCGAGTACTTCGACGTTAAATGACGTAGCTTTTCTGTACTTTTCACATTTACATCTTTGATGTTAGTGAATATGCCATTTGACACATTGAGCACTTCTGTTATTAACTAGAACTTTTATGCACACAGCGCAACTATGTTGTCTTTCCTGGGTTTCCGAAAAGATTCAAAGAAGTCGACGTCAGAGAGGGACCCTGACGGAGGCTTTGTGATCATCGGTGAGAACCAGTATCATTGTTGCCTTGAAACTTGGGTTTCGAATTAAAAGTTGGGGATCAGATCTCACCCGCACAACATTTTCTGTGGCTCTATGGAACGAATGTGTCTCCATGATGTTTATTGCTAAATAGACTGATTTTCATGTTGGAATGTGCCTTTAAGTGTTTATTTTTAATTCGAATTTTTTTCACCAAATCTTTTGTGAACAAAAACAGAAAAATGTTGCTTCCCTTTGTTCTTCATGATCTCTGATTTGAAGTT